TTATATTCAAGGTCACAGGGGTCAAATTTGTTTAAAATCTTTAAACAACCTCTTATGAATAACCATGGGTCCCAGGATGTTTATACTTTGCAAGTTGCATCCTGAGATGAAAGCCTATACAATGTGTTCAACATAATGACTTTGTTCGACTTTCAATCACAGGGGTGAAATGTTTAAAAAAAAAATAACAGGGTCTTTTGAACGAATTTTAATCATAAATACTGATATTTTGCCTGTAGCTTTATTTTAGATCACTTTTAAGGTTACAAGTGTGAGTTTTATACCAGGTGAGCGATGCAGGCCCATTGGGCCTCTTGTTATGTTTATTTTTCAATAAGGCAATTATATTTTATTCATTATATGTTTCCATGTTATTCAGTGAAAATACCCCCTTGTTCATGTAAATGTCAAATCATATGTACACATTGTGATGTCATAAAACGTTATGAAAATATTTTGATGTCACAGACTTTCACATTACATTATATATATGATGTCACAATTCAATGGAGAAATTAGATACAGTGCCAATTAACATACGTGTATACATGTAGGCAGGCTTTTTACACTTCAAGAACACTATATGACATACAATGTACATGGTAATGTATGCATGCAGGCTAGGATAAGTAGGTTACTTTATAGTTGTTGACAAAGATCTTGATTATGTGATTAAAAAGGATCTTAAATTAATTTCCATTTAATAGTCAGAGGAATCGGAATAGGAATATTTTAATTGAACCCAGACTACCAGTGTGGAGGGTCATTACTCAAGTACTGGGTACATGCATATACTTATTGTTTGTTATGACCTCATGAATGTTGAAATATATATATATATATCATAATTGCCACATAACTACAATATGCAGTGTGTATATATACAAGTCATTAATACAAATCCTATTTTAGGGGAATATCAGAAAAAAATCACAAATATTTTTGTATATATATGGATTATCATTTTGGATCCCTATATGTATCTGCTGTATGTGTATACAGTATGTATATGGATTATCATTTTGGATCCCTACATGTATCTACTGTATGTGTATATAGTATGTATATGGATTATCATTTTGGATCCCTACATGTATCTGCTGTATGTGTATACAGTATATGCAGCTTAACTTTTGTATTTCAGTGTTTTTTGAAAATATTAAAGGTGAAAGATTTTGCATTGACTTGTTGTAAGTTTAAACCGAATTAGCATTTCAAAAACTGGGCCCAGTTCAAGATTTTACATGTACAGTAGATGAAAATTTGAAAAACATGGAAAACTCGTGAATTGGTTGTGATAGTTTATGGAAACTACCTCACATTGTGTTTTATAGATGGAAGAGCCATGCAGAGGATTGTGAGGACCAGATGGGCACAGCTATAAGAGAGAGAGACTCCTACCTCCGTGAACTCAAAACTGCTAAAGAGCACAATGCTGATGACCTCTATATCCCTCAGATTAAGGAGGTAAGAAAGTCACGTTAGGTCCAAGGCCAATGTTCATAGAGAGGTGAGAATGTCATGTTAGGTCAAAGTCCAATGTTCATAGAGAGGTGAGAATGTCATGTTAGGTCAAAGGCCAATGTTCATAGAGAGATGAGAATGTCATGTTAGGTCAAAGGCCAATGTTCAAAAAGAGGTGAGAATGTCATGTTAGGTCAAAGTCCAATTTTCACTGAGAGGTGAGAATGTCATGTTAGGTCAAAGTCCAATGTTCATAGAGAGGTGAGAATGTCATGTTAGGTCAAAGGCCAATGTTCATAGAGAGGTAAGAAGTCATGTTAGGTCAAAGGCCAATGTTCACAGAGAGGTGAGAATGTCATGTTAGGTCAAAGGCCAATGTTCACAGAGAGGTGAGAAGTCATGTTAGGTCAATGGTCGAGTGTTTCAAGGATATGAGAAAGTTATGTTAGGTCATATGCAAAATGACACGAAGAACAAACTAGCATGGTAAATGCTGATTTATAATTAGTACATGTATACTACAGGCAGTATATGTATGATTAGCCTAGGGGTATATGTATGATTAGCCTAGGGGTATATGAATGATTAGCCTAGGGCAGTAGGGGTACATTTTATATGCATTATTAGCCTAGGGATAGCTTGTTGAAGGCTAGCTAGCGATAAATTAGGTCAATGGAGTTTGGTTAATGAAATGAGTCAGGTACATGTATGCATCCCTGTGTGTATGACTTAATAATGAATATGAGCATGTCGCTATTAGAATTAAGAAATATGAGTATCACAAAGATTGATCAGATAGATGTCATTGGCATTATGGTGTAATTACATGTGTTACACTACCAAGATGTCAATACACGTGGTGAGACTTGTCTACAGTTCAATTCTAGTCTACTAGGGAAATTTTCTAATGATCTGGACAAGACTGCATCATTATTGTGGCAATTCCATTTACATATATAGGTTAGTCATCTCTATCATAACAATGAAATTCCATAAAAAGTAATATTTAATGACTTTGTTTAACATGTTTCTCAGGATATCTGTGTCGTAATTACTCAGTGTCTGTTGTATTTCTGTAGAACAAACTCACCATGTCTTGTCTTTTGTTAGTTGGAGTTTACGATAGCACAGCAGCAGAATGAAATACGTAGTATGAGAGACAAGCTGGCTAGCCATGATGCAGCAGCCAAGAAATGTATCACCGGTCTTCAGACGGAGATGAAGCACCGAGTAAACCAGGTAATACCACCTTAACACTGAACCAGTCCACTGATATACATAATATACCAAGTAAACCCGGTAATACCACCTTAACACTGAACCAGTCCACTGATATACATAATATACCGGGTAGACCAGGTAATTACACCTTAACACTGAACCAGTCCACTGATATACATAACATGCCGAGTAGACCAGGTATGTTATGTATATAAGTGGACTGGTTCAGTCTTAAGGTGGTATTAACTGGTCTACTCGGTATATTATGTATCTCAGTGGACTGGTTCCGTGTCAAGGTGGTATTACCTGGTATACTTTGTATATCATGCATATTAGTGGACTGGTTCAGTTTTAATGTGGTATTACCGGGTTTACTTGGGATATACATAATATACAAAGTAGACCAGGTAATCCCACCTAAACACTGAACAAGTCCACTGATATACATAATATACCGAGTAGACCAGGTAATACCACCTAAACACTGAACCAGTCCACTGATATACATAATATACCAAGTAGACCAGGTAATACCACCTTAACACTGAACCAGTCCACTGATATACATAACATACCGAGTAGACCAGGTAATACCACCTTAACACTGAACCAGTCCACTGATATACATAATATTCAGAGTAGACCAGGTAATACCACCTTAACACTGAACCAGTCCACTGATATACATAATATACCGAGTAGACCAGGCAATTACACCTTAACACTGAACCAGTCCGCTAATATACATAACATACCGAGCAGACCAGGTAATTCCACCTTAACACTGAACCAGTCCACTAATGTACATGATATACAAAGTAGACCAGGTAATACCACCTTGACACTGAACCAGTCCACTAATATACATGATATACCAAGTAGACCAGGTAATACCCCCTTAACACTGAACCAGTCCACTGATATACATACTATCCCGAGTAGACCAGGTAATTACACCTTACCACTGAACCAGTCCACTAATATACATAATATACCAAGTAGACCAGGTAATAACACCTTAACACTGAACCAGTCTGCTGATATATGTACAAAACATTCAGATATCATTGTTATAACCGTTTTGTTTTATGATAAAAGCAATCTTAATGTCATGGTATGCAAATATCTGACATTATTTTATATGTAATTAACTGTATATATAGTTGACAACGGAAGTTACTATGTTCTGTAAAGATAAGATTGAAAATTCACGAGCACTTATTGAGTGATATGTTTTTAAAGGTTGACAATCTGAACATGAGTATTAGATAAAATAAATTTGCTGTTGCATGTTATTATATTGCTATTAAACTTGACCTTTCACCTTTCACCCTTGTGACCTCAGGTGACCAAGATGTATGAGGAGGCAAACAAAGACAAGGCAGACATGGTAGTCAAGTACGCACAGGCGGAGAAAAACTTCATGGGGGCGCACAAGGCCGTGGAGAGACTGGAGGTCAAGGTCAGGGAACTGACGCGGGAGAGGGAGAGTCTCAACAACAAGGTCAAGGATGCCAAGGTGGAGAGGAAACGTCTACAGACAGAGCTTGATGCCAAAGTATGACTGGTTCATCCAAATTAATGCTACCAATTAAATCAGTGATTTTGTGAGCTTTGTACAGGTCATTTGTTTAAATGTAAATTTCAATTAGCCATCACTAAGTCAGATATGTGATAGGTTTCTACCTCGGCATTATTTCTTAGCTCTCCTGACTTCGATATACTCCTGGCTAATCACCACTACTCTCTACCATTTTCTGTAAACAATACTCAAACTCTTAGTTTCTTTAAATCAAAATTGCATACTTTTGGGGTTTCTTGCACATCACAAGCATGTCATATAGTTTATGATGAATCATGACCTGGACTCAATGAGTTGGTTAGTAAATGTACTACTTTCAGATCTGAACCATTTATCAAACCTTCAGAATTTTGTTTGAGTTATAATGTGAGAAATTTACATCTGAAATGTAGTCCTACTTTGCTTGTTTATTGTTATCATTACAACAGCTATTACAATAATACCTCTATACTTAATAATTTCTCCCTTGTCATTTTTGATGCCAGAGACAGTAATAAGTACCTTTGGGATACCAAAAATGGAAAGTTAACATCTGGCATAACTAAAATAAGAGGAAATGTTACTTATGGAACTCATATGAAAGGCAGCTATTATATGAACATTTTATTAAGGATGATTATAATCTTCTTTCATTCTTAGATTATTTTTTTTGTGTGACGCTGGTTTGAACTGTTTTGTTATTTATGAAAAAAAATAAAAATTATATATTGCAAGACTGCTTGTAAATCATAAAACACTTAATTAGAGACAGAATTTTAAAAAAAAAAGGAAAAAAGAAAAAAAAAATATCCAAAAATTTCAGCTTGTTTTTTTATTTGGAAAAAATAATACAAAACATGCCTAAAGTTGATGGTTTTGTTCACTGTTTTAGACATCGGAAACACAGAGTTTGGCCAAAGAGCTGGAGAAAGAGAAGGAACTGTTGGTGTCTCTTGATGTTCGGATCAAGTGGTCTCAGAATAAACTCAAAACGGAACTAGAAAGCCATAAGGTACCATCACACACAGCACTATGTGTGCCGCAGACATTGGTAGTTGGAAATGGGTTCCTACTTATTTGCTGAAGTTTAAGTATTATTTTTATTCTAACGTAAATATAATTTTGATACTCTTCAATATCCATTGAATCTCATAAGGGTTAAGCTTCACGAGGGACATCAGATTTCTATGCATGGATACAGAATAAGATCTACCTAATATTCTATGGCCCTTTCTACGAGGGGAAGGGTCATAATAGATTTAGTACATCATGTGACTGTCATTTGACAATAAAAAGATAAACATGAGGAAGTTCATTGATAACATATATTTAATAATTAACAACAGCTGGAAATTTGAGCATAACAGTTGAAGTTTTGATTCATGAGTTGTTGTTAAATGTAACAGTACAATTACTAAAATTGAAAGAATGTGCACAAACAATGGAATGTCGAAATGTCTGCCACATGATGGTTCTTGTAAATGCCGCCGCAAACCTTGCCTGATGGCAATGAGAGAACTTTTTGAGTAGATCTCTCCTTTTTTGTTGCGTATATTGGCATAGAAATCCGCCAAAACACCGTTCAATTCACTGGATTGAATCACTGCTAGGTCACATACGGTTCCCCTTTCTAGTAGGAAGTTTTTAAGGAATGCAATGGCAAATTGTGTCACCGGCTTCGTCTTTATGTATTGCTGAGTCTCTGTGAAGCAATCGGCATTCCCGGTTGGAATCTCGAAGCCATTTTGGCAGACGACAACAATGAAGTGAAAGTAGAATATGTACAGCGCTCCCTAGGAGAAGGGGCTAAACTCTTAGCTACTTTTCCCGCTGTCACAGCAGTCCAAAAAAAAGGTATAGTGCCCGTCTCCAGGTATAGTTACCGTCGTCAAGGGCAGATGCTAATTATACCAAATAGAACAAGGGTAGTACTACTATCCAATAGCTATCCAAGAAATTATCATGTGATGTACTTAAAGTATATAGTGTAGGACATACCTTCATCTTCGTTTGTACAATATGTATGAAATAGAAAATTAATTAGATTTTGTGACCTTTTCAGGAAACAAAGGTTGTGCTTGACAAAACTAATCAGAAACTTAAGGAAGCTAAAGAAGAAACTGAACAGATTAGACGTAACTGCCAGGAAATTGTCAAAACATATCAGGTAAGTGTCTTAGTACATCATTCATCAGGTATGTGTCTTGGTATGTCATTCATCAGGTAAGTAAGTAAGTTTCTTAGTTAGTCATTTATCAGGTATGTGTCTTAGTACGTCATTCATCAGGTATGTGTCTTAGTACGTCATTCATCAGGTATGTGTCTTAGTATGTCATTCATCAGGTATGTGTCTTAGTACATCACTCATCAGGTATGTGTCTTAGTACGTCATTCATCAGGTATGTGTCTTAGTTATTCATTCATCAGGTAAGTGTCTTAGTTATTCATTCATCAGGTAAGTGTCTTAGTACGTCATTCATCAGATATGAATCATATACTTGATATGAGTCATTTTGCATGTGCGATACAGTTAGCTGTTACACATGTCCTATCTCTGCTTGGCCCTTACCACAACTGTTTTATTTATTTTAACAATCTAAAAACAAAATAACACTTCAGTTTCACTTACCTTGTCTTATTACTGATAGTTTTGATACTAAAATGTAGAATATTATACAAAGATTATAAAATAACCATTTCCATACCCTACCTAATATCAACCCAAGACATACTTACCAGCACGAGGGGTTATTGAGGTTTCGGATTGATACTTAGGTTTAAAGTTGATGTGGAGTAGAATATAGAAATGGTTATATGATAAACTGTATCATAGTGCCTCAAAACATATCAGGTAAATATCTTACAGGTATATAAGTCAAAACCTATCCTGTAGGTAAATGTTAACACATATTTCCTGGTATACTTAACTATATGACAATCTATATTGCAGGAATCGGAGGAGATTAAATCCAACAATTTAGACAACAAACTGAAAATAAAAGAGAGTGAGCTGTTACATCAACAGCAGCAGAAAACAAGTCAGGAGGAGGTAACTCTAAAACACATAAAAATAAAATTCTGGTTATGTGGGGTTATGTAATTGTGATTGAATCTGGTTTTTCTGAAGACATAGAATTGGAAAAAAAGTGGGACAATTCCATGTAACAAACAGCATATGAATGAAATAATTAAGACATCTAAATTGGCTAACCTAATGGCCCTGCTCAATTTGCCTGTCTACAGGTCAAGCAGGCCCTGTGTATCATATCTACCAACTTATCTAAGTATGATACAAATGGCCTGCCTTGTAGTTAAAAAGGAATATAAAGCACCTACATCATGTGTGTAAAAAAAAGAACCTGTCTTGTAAAAAATTACATATTAAGGCATACCACGCAGCCTGCAAGGAGATTGAGCAGCTGAAGGGCAAGCAGACAGAGCTTGCAGCTGACCTTGGAACATTCCGTGACAAGTGCGCCCAGATGAAAGCTGACCTCCATCAGAATGAGGATACCATGAACAAATACACAGCCATGTTACAGAGACAGAAGAAGGAAAACAAAGATCTGCAGACACGGATAGAGCAGCTGGTACCACTGCAGAGCGACCTAAAAAGGTATTACCGCTTTGTGCGACTGGGGCATGTCGAGGACTTTAACAAAACCATAGTTCAGTTTTTGCTAAATTTTGGGACTTCCTACCGATGGTGGCTTTGAAGTTATGTTCATGTGAAGTAACCATTTCAATAGCCTCATTGATAGTTTTTCGATTCTTGTTCGATCTGAATTTGATTGGAACATGTTAAGTTTATTACGCTTCCACTGTCACAAAAGATCAGGTAATGGAGAATTATTCTTCTTGATATCAAAGTTTTACTTGCTACACAAACAATATACGTATTAAACGTGACGCAACGTTTCAAGACCGACTGGTCCCTTTGTCAAGCTGGGACTCAGATTTGTTTAATGCGTACATTGTTTGGGTAGAAATTAAAAATTTGATATCACATATTTCCAAACTGATGAATCTTCTTAAAGTTATTCTTCTTCTTGAACTATGTGTCTTTTTATATTCCAAGCAAGAAATATAAGACAGTGACAATTTGATGAGAAAATCAGATCAACTGACCAATAAGGGTTGTCAAGGAGTAACCGGTTACTCGTTCGGAAGACCATGAAAATACCAAAATCAATAATCGATACATATTTATCATTACTAAGCCTTATGATGTGTGTCTTGTCTTTGTTGTGAGTTCTGAAATTATTGCATACTGAATTCTACATTTTGTAGAATATTATGTTACATTTGCCAACTAGGACTAATAACCTACTGTAAAACGACAGCATACTAGTCTCATAAAACAGGTTAAATGAATAAAAAATAGATTGATCATAATACATATTTTTATTTAATTAAATAATATTTGAATTTGGTTATCTACTCCAGAGCCCAGACCACTATAAAGTCCTTAGATGCTGAGATTGCAGAACTAAAGATCAGTAGCAAAGATTTGAGGATTGAAAGTGAGGCATGCTACAAACGGGAAACTGAGAAACTAGAACTCACGGAGAAACTCAGTGCCAAAAATGCTGAATTACAATCCGAAAATACTCTACTTCAGAATAAGGTATTATTCAGGTAGAAACTGCCTATAGTATATAGTACTAAAACTGTTATGTATAGTCTTAGTGTAATAATTCACTGTAAGTTTATGTTTACCTGTAGGATATCTGCATTCCATTTAACAATTTTTCAGAAAATTAATGTTAAGTCATTTACCAACCAATTGTTTTTTCCTATTTAGGATTTGTTTCTTTTTTTGTCAGTCTGATTAAAATTATATGTAACATGGCTTTGTTAACTTCATACTACGCCTGAACATCTGAGTGTGCCGCGGTCAGAGTTACGTTCAGGTGACCTTTATATTTATAAATACTCATTAAATTTTGACCAATCAGAGACCCTCTTTCAAAAGGGCGCTCGGAGTTGTAACAGATATGGCGGACATTGATTAGAATGATGCGAAAGTTATTTGAGATTGATCGTCTGAAACCCAAACAGAAAAAGATATTCAAAGCTTTATTAAAGAAGAAAGACTGTATGGCGGTGTTGCCTACGCAATTATTACCGAATGGGTACGTTTTCCTTGTCTTAAAAATGTCAGTTCCCGACGCCATATTTGTTTTGGAAAACTAAACTGTTAAATAACCCTCGCTATTTATATATCAACCATGATATTCCGATTTGCTGGTAAACTTTTGCCAGCGCGCCTCTGATTGGGTCATCTAAAGGTCACTTAAACGTGACCCTGACCACGGCACATTCAGATGTTCAGGCGGAGCCATGTAACAGATGATTTTAATCAGATTGTATTTTTGTTTGTTTCCATTTTGTTGTTGCATAACTTTGTATGATATCATCTTCTAGGCCTTGGTAGGATTTTATTTGCTCACAAACATCTAATCCAAAAATAGAGGAAATAATAGATTTTTATGATCTCATTCTCTGTCTAAGTATGTTGTATGTCTTGATGGCCTGATGTATGGGAAGAATGTCTGACAAGTGATGTATCTGACTTTTGTTACACAGAACCTGAATCTGTCCAGTGAAGTACAGAGTCTGAGGGTGGAGGTCCAGTCTCTGGATTCCAGGGTCAAGGATCTGGTAGGTTTTTTGGTGACAGTGAGGCTATAGACAGATTTTAAATCTGTTACTTTCAATTAGGGTAATTCAAGTATAAATAATTAAAGGAAGAGTAGGGTATAAAGTAAGGAGGCACTATTATAGTGGCCAAACTAAAAAAAAAATTGCCCTTTTCCGTCTTTTCGTATTGCAGAGTTATCTGCTCTTGTGAGCAGGTATTGATTGTTAGGTCACTAGTTTGTGTGAGAAAATTATGTCGTTTTCTCAAAAAATGATGACGTTACTCTTAGAAACAAATGACGTAACAGTCAATACCTGCTATCAAGAGCAGATAACTCTGCAATACGAAAAGACGGAATATACCCAAGCTGCTAAGTAATTATTTTTGATTGCCCACCCCTCCCATATATTATCAATTATATAAAGAGTTATATCCGGAACTCTGATATGGTCCTTTATGTGAAACTTTCAAGTCACACACACTAGTGTTATATCACATTTTTAACGATCTTTGTGAAAGTAAGCGAAAAATACAATAAAACAAAAATTATTCTCTGGACAATTTAAATTGTTAACTCTCAGTCATGTTAATCAGTAACAATTTAAACAGCATATATATGATGAGCACTGAATTACATTACTCAGCCTAAATTGTTCTTTTTATGACAATAGACTCATGATCTAACAGAAGAACAGCGCCTCAGGCAAGGGGAGGTAACTCAACTAACAACACGTCTAGCAGAGAAGACAAAGGCTGGTAAGTTATATACTGGGTATATGCCATTTTTTCTTTGATTTATAATTTATATTTTGAAAAAAGAATAGACAATATGATCATGTTGTTCATTTACTTAGTAGCTCTTGTGGGGCAAATATCAAATAATTAGGGGAATGGTTTCATAATTTTATCAAATACTTAAGGGGCCAAGATTTCATTAATTAAGGAAGATAAAACACTTTGTATATCTAGGGAAGTTTTAAAAATGTAAAGAAATTGGTACTAGGGGCTGATCAGCAATTTACTGAGGGACTTACTGTGTAGATTTTTTTTACAGCTGATGAAATGTCACGCCGGATTGAAGATGAAAAAGACGAAATCAAAACCTTAAAAAGGAAACATACCAATAATGTAAAGGTATGGATTCTAGTATTTTTGATGTGTTGGAAAATTTGTGTCGGACAAGGCAGCGTTTGAAATAAGATTGAACTTTAATCACATATTACACAGTTCAAAGCAAATTTGTAATCATTCCTTTTTCATTGATACATCTACTATAAAAAGTTTGAATGAAGGAAACTTTACAAGTGTAGACTAATTCAACCCTTGGTACAATCAGTTTCCTGGTTTGTTTCTATGCATTAAAATAATCAGTTCTGTTTTAAGATTGATGAAAACATGCTATAAGGTATATGGTTTACAACAGACCAGTTCATTGGCTGCTACTAAGATATGTTGTTACTGTGATGGTGATTGGCTATAGCTTTTGAGGCTACTGTCAGTATGTATGAGATGTAACGTTTTTGTTAAGGACTTGACCCGACAGCTCCAACAAGCGAAGAAGCGTCTGGAGGCTGTAGAGATGAACGGGGAGCGAGATACGACCAGTATGGGGTCCAGAACCAGTTCTAATGGTTCGCTAAACACCATGTCTGACACCCACAACGGGTCATCACTGTCTAACATACAGGGGGTCCCAGCTGTACGACACTACAGCCCTCAGGAACAGGTAAAATACAACACTTACAACAGCCTTCTTATGTACAGGGTGTCCCAGCTGTACGACACTACAGCCCTCAGGAACAGGTAAAGGTAAAATACAGCACCTACAACAGCTCTCTTATATACAGGGTGTCCCAGCTGTACGACACTACAGCCCTCAGGAACAGGTAAAGGTAAAATACAGCACCTACAACAGCTCTCTTATATACAGGGTGTCCCAGCTGTACGACACTACAGCCCTCAGGAACAGGTAAAGGTAAAATACAGCACCTACAACAGCTCTCTTATATACAGGGTGTCCCAGCTGTACGACACTACAGCCCTCAGGAACAGGTAAAGGTAAAATACAGCACCTACAACAGCTCTCTTATATACAGGGTGTCCCAGCTGTACGACACTACAGCCCTCAGGAACAGGTAAAGGTAAAATACAGCACCTACAACAGCTCTCTTATATACAGGGTGTCCCAGCTGTACGACACTACAGCCCTCAGGAACAGGTAAAGGTAAAATACAGCACCTACAACAGCTCTCTTATATACAGGGTGTCCCAGCTGTACGACACTACAGCCCTCAGGAACAGGTAAAGGTAAAATACAGCACCTACAACAGCTCTCTTATATACAGGGTGTCCCAGCTGTACGACACTACAGCCCTCAGGAACAGGTAAAGGTAAAATACAGCACCTACAACAGCTCTCTTATATACAGGGTGTCCCAGCTGTACGACACTACAGCCCTCAGGAACAGGTAAAGGTAAAATACAGCACCTACAACAGCTCTCTTATATACAGGGTGTCCCAGCTGTACGACACTACAGCCCTCAGGAACAGGTAAAGGTAAAATACAGCACCTACAACAGCTCTCTTATATACAGGGTGTCCCAGCTGTACGACACTACAGCCCTCAGGAACAGGTAAAGGTAAAATACAGCACCTACAACAGCTCTCTTATATACAGGGTGTCCCAGCTGTACGACACTACAGCCCTCAGGAACAGGTAAAGGTAAAATACAGCACCTACAACAGCTCTCTTATATACAGGGTGTCCCAGCTGTACGACACTACAGCCCTCAGGAACAGGTAAAGGTAAAATACAGCACCTACAACAGCTCTCTTATATACAGGGTGTCCCAGCTGTACGACACTACAGCCCTCAGGAACAGGTAAAGGTAAAATACAGCACCTACAACAGCTCTCTTATATACAGGGTGTCCCAGCTGTACGACACTACAGCCCTCAGGAACAGGTAAAGGTAAAATACAGCACCTACAACAGCTCTCTTATATACAGGGTGTCCCAGCTGTACGACACTACAGCCCTCAGGAACAGGTAAAGGTAAAATACAGCACCTACAACAGCTCTCTTATATACAGGGTGTCCCAGCTGTACGACACTACAGCCCTCAGGAACAGGTAAAGGTAAAATACAGCACCTACAACAGCTCTCTTATATACAGGGTGTCCCAGCTGTACGACACTACAGCCCTCAGGAACAGGTAAAGGTAAAATACAGCACCTACAACAGCTCTCTTATATACAGGGTGTCCCAGCTGTACGACACTACAGCCCTCAGGAACAGGTAAAGGTAAAATACAGCACCTACAACAGCTCTCTTATATACAGGGTGTCCCAGCTGTACGACACTACAGCCCTCAGGAACAGGTAAAGGTAAAATACAGCACCTACAACAGCTCTCTTATATACAGGGTGTCCCAGCTGTACGACACTACAGCCCTCAGGAACAGGTAAAGGTAAAATACAGCACCTACAACAGCTCTCTTATATACAGGGTGTCCCAGCTGTACGACACTACAGCCCTCAGGAACAGGTAAAATACAACACTTACAACAGCCTTCTTATGTACAGGGTGTCCCAGCTGTACGACACTACAACCCTCAGGAACAGGTAAAATACAACACTTACAACAGCCTTCTTATGTACAGGGTGTCCCAGCTGTACGACACTACAACCCTCAGCAACAGGTAAAATACAACACTTACAACAGCCCTCTTATATACATTGTGTCATAACTGTATGACACTACAGCCCTCAGGAACAGGTAAAATACAGCACTTACAACAGCCTTCTTTTATATACAACTAAAACATGATAAACAGTTTATCTGTTTATTACACATGTTAGCGAAAAACATGAATAAGATACACTAAGAAGTACATGTATACATTATTAACATTTGGCATATCAGGGGCTACTCACTCTACCTGCTAATTAACATACCCTTAATACAACTTAAACTTAAAATTTAACATCAAGACTTCAAAAAGACCCTAGAGAAGAGGCTTGACTCTGCGGAACTCCAGAGAAGCGACTTGACTCTTAAGTATATTTATGGAGAAGATGAGAAATAGAATACTCTTACCTAGAGAAGAAGTTTGACTCTACTGAACTACAGAGAATCGACTTGACTCTAAGACTTGAAATAGAATAGACCTAGAGAAGAAGCTTGACTCTACTGAACTACAGAGAAGCGACTTGACTCTAAGACTTGAAATAGAATAGACCTAGAGAAGAAGCTTGACTCTACTGAACTACAGAGAAGCGACTTGACTCTAAGGCTTGAAATCGAATAGACCTAGAGAAGAAGCTTGACTCTACTGAGCTGCAGAGAAGCGACTTGACTCTAAGACTTGAAATCGAATAGACCTAGAGAAGAAGCTTGACTCTACTGAGCTGCAGAGAAGCGACTTGACTCTAAGACTTGAAATCGAATAGACCTAGAGAAGAAGCTTGACTCTACTGAGCTGCAGAGAAGCGACTTGACTCTAAGACTTGAAATCGAATAGACCTAGAGAAGAAGCTTGACTCTACTGAGCTGCAGAGAAGCGACTTGACTCTAAGACTTGAAATCGAATAGACCTAGAGAAGAAGCTTGACTCTACTGAGCTGCAGAGAAGCGACTTGACTCTAAGACTTGAAATCGAATAGACCTAGAGAAGAAACTTGACTCTACTGAGCTGCAGAGAAGCGACTTGACTCTAAGTATTCCTGGAGATGATGAAACATTTATAGAAGCTACTGACATAGTAAATGAATAATATTTCAATTAATAAAGTATTGGGGGTAAAATTCCCCTGGAATTAAAAGCCAAAATTGAACGAAATAAGTAATAAAAATGAATATTGATTACTAATGAGTAAGAGCCCCCAATATTATATACAGGATGTCCTAACTGTATGACACTACAGCCCTCGGGAACAGGTAATATACAACACTTACAACAGCCCTCTTATATACAGGATGTCCCAGCTGTACAACACTACAACTCTCTTATATACATGATGTCCCAGCTGTACAACAATACAACTCTCTTATATACATGATGTCCCAGCTGTACAACACTACAGCTCTCCTATATACAGGATGTCCCAGCCGTACAACACTACAACTCTCTTACATACAGGATATCCCAGATGTGCAACACTACAACTCTCCTATATACAGGATGTCCCAGCTGTACAACACTACAACTCTCTTACAACACTTACAATAGATTGTTCAATGTTCACCTTTACATCCATTTGTTAAGTATTATCATCCACACCTACAAATTTTATATGATTTTAGCTGTGTTATTTATGGTAAAATATAAGTTTGGTTTGTTTAAGGTATAACGAAATCTGTTTTAAGAGCATTTTTAATCACCAGTCCTTCAACAATTCTTATCAACACTGAATCTTGAACTAATTGAGTAATTATTTAACTTAATGTAAGTTTCACATCATTGAGATGTTTCCCAATGTTGAAGCTGCTTTCTATAGCAATCTTAATAAAGGGGCCTATTAAATTTTAAATGGGTGACGAAACAATCTGAATATTTAATTTTCTGTCAGTCCTGTATGTGGAGTTTGTTGACTTTTACAGGAATATCCAGTGATCACAGAACAAGTGGAGCCAGACAGACAGCTCCTCATTGAGAGAATAGTCAAGCTTCAGCGATCTCACGCTCGCAAAAACGAAAAAATAGAGTTTATGGATGACCACATCTCGCAGCTTATTGAGGAAATTCATAAAAAGACTAAGTAAGACATGGTCAATTTTTAGCTCACCTTGGTGAGCTTATGCCATACAGCAGTGTCCGTCATCCGTCCGTCAACTTTTCCTTTAAAATGCTGCTTGTCCTGAACAGCCCTGTAGATTTTGACTAAATTTGGTCTGAGGGCAGGGGGTGGGGGCCAAATAGGGAAAATAGAAGTAAACCTTTAAAATCCTTCTTCTACCATAGGGATTAAGGGATTTTATCCCTATTTGGTCTGACCCCCCTTAAGGCAGAGAGGCATGGCCCCGTAAGGGATATAGAGGAATAGCTTTAATATCCTTCTTCCGTTGGGATGAACGTATTTTGACCCAATTTGAACAATAGCATCCTATGGGGAAGGGAAATCAATTTTATATAAATGGTGGATCTGAACCCCCTGGGGGCAGAGGGGTGGGGGCTAATAAGGGATATCGAGGAATAGATTTCAAATCCTTCTTCTTCAGTAGGAAAGACAGGATTTTGTCCATATTTGGTCTGAAGCATCCTTGGGTGAAGGGGACTTACTTTTGAATAAACGGTGGGTCTGACCCCCCTGGGGCCAGGGGGTGGGGCCCAATAGGGGAAATAAAGGTAAAACCTTTAAAATTCTTCTTCTACCATAGGCTATTTCAACTTCAATATTGTTAACATTTCCAGGTGAGCGATACAGGCCCTCTTGACCTCTTGTTCTTGTTCTTTTCATTTCTGTTAACATTAGACACTTCCTAAGGTACAAAATCTCTTGATGATCAACTGCTCTGGTTTTTTTATTCAGAATTACGACCTGCATCAGTATTTTCGCCAGCAATTGTTTCACCAATAATCACAATGAGATGGAAAAAATATTAAAATATTTAGACATACTGTTGAGCTCGTCTGACGAAAGATTCTTTGTTATCAGATGTTGCTGACTGACTAAAGCTGTTTACACACATTGTTATTATGAATAAATATGAGAATATGAAGTGATACATTTAAATGCGAATGATGCATGACGAATACAAATACTCTGTTATAGCTGATTTTTTTACTTAATTAATGTAGATTCTCAGCCATGTGTTATAAAAAATAAATTATTTTGGGAATTGTAGCAGCCAAGATATTCTATACAAGTTAAACCTGATAAAATAAGAGATGTCATATGGTAATAAGACAGCTTTTATTTGACATTGTTAATTAACTACATGCATATTGACAATATTATGAAAAAACTGCCTTATCAATATCATAACAAACTGGGCCAATACGGGATAAACTGGGCCAGTATCGATAACGCGCCAATCGAACGCACGCCACATTATTCAGAACATTTCTAGACTTATCGGCGATGACTACCTTCACAATCAGTAACTCTTCATTGACAACGACAGAAGACAACAAACCATGGAACGAGCGTCCGACACCTCCGCCAAAACTTGGCGAAGACAAATTAGCAGTTTAAAACATGACATTACCAGATACAAAGTGTTAAGCGAGCTAAGCCAAACTTTGCTAAATGATATATTAGTGGTACATACTCAATGGCAAATTCTGAACTACAAGGTTGTCTGCCCTTTTCCCTGTTAAGTGGTGCACATATCTCAGGAGGTATCATGAATATCAATGTGATCCCCAGAAAAAAGCGAAGTATAGTCAGTCCATCTATTTCACAGGAAGAAATCAACTGAACAATATTTTGAAATAATTCAGTTTGTTTTTGTTAATTTAAGATTATTGCAAATAGTATACAAGTAGTTAATTAATAAAAGTGTCATTAATCAGCTAATTACTCATTGGCAAAGTTATTAGACCTTGGTCTGTCACATTAGCCCAAGGCCGCAATATGACAGACCTTGGCCTTATAACTGGGCCAATATAGAATATTATTGTGTCTATAAAATCTTTAAAAATTTACATTCTAAAGAACCAGGAATATCAGATGGATTTCAGACACGGATATATTGGAGTATTAGAAATCCTTTATGAAACCTTTTCTGACTTGTTGCTTGTAGGATAATTCAGAGTTATGCGTTACGAGAGGAATCTGGGACTTTGACGCCAGAAGCCATGGATGTTCACAAGGTAAAAAAAATATAAAGGCTTATGTTACCAGCAACTTTTGTATGGAATATAAATCTGTTTATCAACACGTTATATATCAGATATAGCACTCTCCAAACCCATCTCGAAAGGAATTTATCTTGTTTTTAATGCTGCTGTCTGATTGTGGAGGGTCATATCATTTATTGAATAGAATTATCTCCTTTTAGGATTTCATAGAATAGGGTTTCTTGAATAGGATTATCATTTATTAGGAACTGTGAAAATTGCTGTAGTAGGACTCTTTTACAAGATCATCTCTCTGAAGAACTCTAAAATCTTCTAGGCTACTAGGGAAAGCAAGATTTTTAAAAACATTTAATGATATACTTTTTAATGTGTTTTAGAATCAGAAAGGCTGTGCTTAAGGTCAATATAAGGAAAGGGTAATACATTTTAAGTGTCCTTTTCTCATCGAGTGAACAGTGGAAAAATAGGGGAAAAAATTATGATGAAAATACCAGTAGATTTATTCTTGCTTCAGAGTCCTTATTTACCTTTGTAATTATTTATGTGAGTCTTATTTTTGGAAACAATCATCCAGGGAAATTGAGACAGTGAGGCACATATAACTGATCATATATATGGTTAGGGGGATCTGTTGAGTAGGTCCCAGCGGAATTTATTTATGGTACACTGTAAGTTGGGGTTTTGAAAAAGTGCAGTTTTGCCTCTAACCCAGTTATTTATTTCATGGCTCCATCCATATTTTTTGGAAAAGTCCTAAATTTAACCTGTCGCTTAATAGTGAATTTACTTTGACATTGAAAATCAATTACTTTGCAAAACGAAGGAAAACTTAGATTTTAAATACATGTATTTACGTATCCATTGAATTTGCCATGATTAAGTCATGTATTTAATGCGGAAAAAGCTAAAAGGGGGAGTTCTGTAAAGTTTTACCTGCTTGAAGTGTACATTGTTGGATATTTCGCTTTATGACCTTATAATTATGACATTAGAGATCAATGGTCTAAACTTTAATCAAACTGTTCATTCCATTCAATTTGAATCTCCTTTGTTTTTCCTCGCTGGATTATTGTTTAATAGAAAGGAAAGATTTATCATGTGCTCATACATAAACATGTTATTTGTATATGGTTTCCTTGTTTAAGTCAGTCAATGTAAAGGAGTGAAATGTTTTTGGACAGTCAGTGTTTTAAGGGGGAAAAAACCCAAAGATGGTTCCTGTGATTGCCTGTGAGAGACTATAATGTAGCTACTAGTTTTATACATTATATAGCTATAGTTCTCTACATTTTGTAACTACCGGTTCTCTACATTTTGTGACTACCGGTTCTCTACATTTTGTAACTACCGGTTCTCTACATTTTGTAACTACCGGTTCTCTACATTTTGTAACTACCGGTTCTCTACATTTTGTAACTACCGGTTCTCTACATTTTGTAACTACCGGTTCTCTACATTTTGTAACTACCGGTTCTCTACATTTTGTAACTACCGGTTCTCTACATTTTGTAACTACCGGTTCTCTACATTTTGTAACTACCGGTTCTCTACATTTTGTAACTACCGGTTCTCTACATTTTGTAACTACCGGTTCTCTACATTTTGTAACTACCGGTTCTCTACATTTTGTAACTACCGGTTCTCTACATTTTGTAACTACCGGTTCTCTACATTTTGTGACTACCGGTTCTCTACATTTTTGATGTTGTTGCATTCAAATTTTCTCTGCGACTTGGTGATACCTTGGATGCTTGCAATGATTGTGGCGTTTGTGAATCGTGACATTGCCTTAAAAATAATCTGCTAACTTCTCACATTCTGGCAAAACATTATACAGCTTGATATCACCTTCTAAAAACACCAATTGTCTTAACGTATTCTGTATTTTCAAGAAAATCTCTTTGCAAAGAATGTAGACTTGATTTTAAATTATTGTAAATAAAAAAAAGCATGTGCAGTGCTACATCACTGCTGCTCCCGGCTGATACAGTTTGTTTATAAACATAAACATTCATGTTAAGTGCATACAGTTTGCTAGGCATATATGTCACAATGAGAAATTAAAGTCCTGGGTCATTCCTTAAATAAGATAGTGTAGATTATTTTATATCATAAATTTACAGAAAAGAACCAAAATTCTCTTTAATAATTACCCATATTTCGATGTAAAAGTTATATTTTAATGAATTAAGCATGCAGTCTAACAAATAGTTTTGATTATTGACTGTCTGCATGGCTGTAGCACTTAAACATGTACTGATATCTAATTAGTAATAGAAACAATAAAATGAGAGAAAGATAGCCTTACCTGAAGGACTATACAGGATAGGGTTCAAGGTTAGTGTATGATGACAAGATAGGGTTCAAGGTTAGTGTATGATGACAAGATAGGGTTCAAGGTTAGTGTATGATGACAAGATAGGTTTCAAGGTTAGTGTATGATGACAAGATAGGGTTCAAGGTTAGTGTATGATGACGAGATAGGGTTCAAGGTTAGTCTATGATAACAGGGTATATGTCAAGGTTAGCATATGATAACAGAGTAGGGGTCAGGGATAACTTATGATAACAGGGCAGATGTCAAGGTTAGCTTATGATAACAGGGTATATGTCAAGGTTAGCATATGATAACAGGGCAGATGTCAAGGTTAGTGTATGATAACAGGGTAGATGTCAAGGTTAGCATATGATGACAGAGTAGGGGTCAGGGATAACTTATGATAACGGGGCAGGGGAAATGGTACCTTATGATGACTGGGTATGGGTCAAAGTAAGCTTATGATGGTGGGGAAAGGGTCAAGGTTAGCTTATGATGACAAAGTAGGGATCGAGGGCAGCTTATGATGAAGGGGTAGGGGTCAAAGATAGCTATGATGACAGGGTAGGGGTCAAAGGTAGCTTATGATGACAGAGTAGGGGTCAAGGTTAGATTATGATGACAGAGTAGGGGTCAAGGTTAGCTTATGATGACAAAGTAGGGATCAAGGGCAGCTTATGATAACCGGGTAGTGGTCAAGGGCAGCTTATGATGACCGGGTAGGGGTCAAGGGTAGCTCATGATCACAGGGTCAAGAGTGGCTCGAAACAGGGTAGGGGTCAAGGATAACTTATGTTGCCAGGGTAGGAGGTCAAGAGTAGCATTTAATGCCAGGGGAGGGATGAAGGGTACGTTTGATGACAGGGTACATGTAGGTGTCAAGACAGCATATGATGACAGGGTAAGACAAGACAAGGTTTGGAGAGAGGTGTAGGCTAGCAGTGAACACTACATGTAACACACAGGTATTTGTTCTAACTTATTTTGATGATTTTCAAGAATTTTTATGTAACCTTTTAATAAATCCCTGGTTCCATTATACATGTATTACATTCCCACAAAATGTTGTTCTTTTAGTCCTAGCAAAGAGTTTAACTTTACACGTACCTGTTTTAGTTCCAACCAAATGTTTATGAGCTGATGAATTCCTGCTTTGCTGAAATCACTGTCCGTACATTATTATATACCTCTGTACCTTGTATGCTCACTTGTACTGTGTATTCTATAGATCGACAGCAGGCGCCAGTCAATCCAGGTACAGTAGCTTCCCTTTACCAGAACTCTCTACTCCAGTTCAGTGTTGCAGCATGGATTCTTGTGACCTTGACCTTTGCACATTCATGTCTGCATAGTTCTGTTTATTTTGTATAATATTTATGTAGAGATGCACCTGTTTTCTCCAGACGTTACATTTCTGTACTTTGCAAAATTTTGTTTTAAACAACCTGAAGCTGAACAATTTGATTTAGATTACCCTGAAGCTGAAAAAATCCTGATATTATATTTGAAGTTTTATTCATTTAATTTATTATCGAAATCAACATATCAAACTACTAAATTGCAATATTGAACTCAATAATATATTATTAATAAAGAAAAAATACCCCACTAAATTCAGGTTTCATATTTTTTTTTTCAAGTTTATGCTTTGTGGTAGGAAATCTATAAATATGTATGCATTGTGATTGTTTATGAATTAATTTTTCAATACATTATAAAGACAATATTTGTAACTGCTATCATGTCTGTAGAAAACAGCTCTAAGTAAATATATCAGAGCACCTACATACAGTGTCATTGTTCTTCAGTTTGACAACCTTGAGCTGACCTTGTGATTTGCTGTTGTTATCAGTAGTAGATTTCTGTTTGTATATTTGGTTCCAATAACGTTATCTTGGTTGTTTTCTTCTTCAAGTAAATTACAGACGTCACAATCATCTGAAAGTGACGTACAAGAGGGAGGGACTTATTTGTTTTCTATAACTTTTTCTGTCCCAAAAACCAGATATTGTGTGTATATGTTGTGTGTAGAGAATATCACATCACCACAGTACCGTTATGGTGGTTGGGTTGTCATGGATACGGCTAACAGGTAACCCTGTTTGTAGATCACTACACTATAGGTATAAAAAAATAGTATTGTCAGGTTGTCATGGATACGGCTAACAGGTAACCCTGTTTGTAGATCACTACACTATAGGTATAAAAAAATAGTATTGTCAGGTTGTCATGGATACGGCTAACAGGTAACCCTGTTTGTAGATCACTACATTTCAGATAAAGAAATACATCTGTACTGTAGCTATTATAGGCTAGGATTTTCATGGATACGGCTAACAAGGTACCCTGGTTGTAGATCACTACACTAGATATAAAACTTTTTTACTCTGGAGTTGTCTTGTAATATTAAACCTGTTTGTAGGTAATTTTCTCTGCTGTAACTCTACCGTAACCATGGCAGTCTGATTGGTTAGTAGTTAGGGTGAAGGGAAGTCTGTTACCTGCGAATGTACATGTACTAGATCTCTTCCAGGACCTTTTGTTGAACTTATCAACATCTGAATATATGCTTACAAACAAACAATTGCCTTTGTCTTTCAGATGGAGAAAAGATAACTAGTAACACAGAATATCTAATCTAGAAATAATAGTAATGAATTTTTCTGTATCGTAGATATTCTTTAATTCAGTGTTGATTGTGTCTAATGTTTTGGACCAAGTGCAGCAAGGTATAAATATATAGAATTAGCATCAGATTTCTAATTCATAAAGCAGGTTACTTATATCACTTGTTTCTGAGATCAGTTTAATTTAATTTCATGCAGCCTAGCCTATTATATGTTATAAGTTCTGTTCTCTGCCTTGGTCCCAATTAGCATGTATGTTATGTTACATTCTTTACTGTAGACATATCTCTGTTAATATCCAAGGTCTTTTCATGATCCCAGTACTTTCGGCATTAACATATAGTTACAATAATTACCTTTAGTTAGTATTTATTACATAAGTTAAGTTCAGCTGTAAGTTCAGCTATATCAGCTATTGTACCATATATATTCACACTCTACTGAAAAGAAATGTACACACAGAGGATATTCACAGTACTGGAAAAATATACAGAAGATATTCACATAATGTGGAAGATATTATATTGAGGATTTAAACTATCTATAGATTACTATATATGTTCACACTCTGCTGAGAAAATAAAGTATGGAGAGAGCGATGTTCACAGTACATGTACTGAGAAATATACAGAAGATGTTCCCATGGTTTGGAAGATTTTATATTGAGGATGTAAACTATCTACAGAGAAATACAGATATATGTAGAGGATATGTATGATATACAATCTTAATTGAGAAATATACAATATAAAGAGAATATTTGCTTAGATAAGATGCTTCTGTATAATGGAGGATTTACGATTGGATGGACTTAATACTGAACATGTGCTTGTCACTGGTAAATATTGTCATCCTGTTGATTACAAGACAGTCACTGATAGGCAGTGATAGAAATAAAGATATCCACATATTTTCTTGCTTTGTTATCTGATGTACATTCTGTAGCTGTCATACACTAGCACATCACATGGGTTAAGGGTAACTAGTTTCCCTCGGTCTTTCGTACATGTGATCATTGGTTAAGGGTAACTAGTTTCCCTCGGTCTTTCGTACGTGTGATCAATGGTTAAGGGTAACTAGTTTCCATCGGTCTTTCGTACATGTGATCAATGGTTACGGGTAACTAGTTTCCCTCGGTCTTTCGTACATGGGATCAGTGGTTAAGGGGAACTAGTTTCCTTCAGTCTTTCGTACATGGGATCAATGGTTAAGGGTAACTAGTTTCCATCGGTCTTTCGTACATGTGATCAATGGTTACGGGTAACTAGTTTCCCTCGGTCTTTCGTACGTGTGATCAATGGTTAAGGGTAACTAGTTTCCATCGGTCTTTCGTACATGTGATCAATGGTTAAGGGGAACTAGTTTCCCTCGGTCTTTCGTACACGTGATCAATGGTTAAGGGTAACTAGTTTCCCTCGGTCTTTCGTAAATGTGATCAGTGGTTAAGGGTAACTAGTTTACTTCAGTCTTTCGTACATGTGATCAATGGTTATGGGTAACTAGTTTCCCTCGGTCTTTCGTACACGTGATCAATGGTTAAGGGTAACTAGTTTCCCTTAACCATAGCACATCACATGGGTTAAGGGTAACTAGTTTCCCTCGGTCTTTCGTAAATGTGATCAGTGGTTAAGGGTAACTAGTTTACTTCAGTCTTTCGTACATGTGATCAATGGTTACGGGTAACTAGTTTCCCTCGGTCTTTCGTAAATGTGATCAGTGGTTAAGGGTAACTAGTTTACTTCAGTCTTTCGTACATGTGATCAATGGTTAAGGGTAACTAGTTTCCCTCGGTCTTTCGTACATGTGATCAGTGGTTAAGGGTAACTAGTTTCCTTCAGTCTTTCGTACATGTGATCAATGGTTAAGGGTAACTAGTTTCCCTCGGTCTTTCGTACATGTGATCAATAGTATGCTGTCCTGTATTATTTCTGTGTTGATTATCTTCACCTGTTTCTTGCTGTACTACGTATTAGTGAATGTCATTTGAGCAGAGAGTTTGTTAACACTTTCTTCTCTGATGGAAGTAACAGAATGTTAAGTAACAGAATCTTTCAACAAAACTGGGTATGTGGTATGTTTGGGATGTAGTTATAAAGTTCAGTCCAGAGAAGAGGTGACAGGGAGGCGGTGATATTGGAGATTTCACCCTGTCATGTCAAGCGTTACTAGATTAATGACATATTAAGTAACATTTTAAAGTGCTATTAAAGTATTAAAGATGAAAACAAAGGAGAATTACCAAAATTATTCTTATATCTGCAGACTCTTTCTCATTCCAATAAACTAATTTGAAATATAGACTTCATTATACAATATGTCATTTAACCATTGAAGCTTAACAGACAAAGTGTAAACCATGATTATCCTACGGAAATAACAGCTACTGGGATTCCAGAAGGATGTGGCATTGTAACAAGCTTACAGCTATCAGCTGGAGCACAACTTAAGGGTTAGATTTCACTTCAATGGTGTAACCCTGTAGTACCTTAGCACATTGACGGGCCTTTCAAATTTGACAGCGAATATATTGCCTTACAGTATTTTAACATGTACGTAAACACTTTCTCTATTGGCAGGCAAAGATATCAAAGAAACACAGCATTATGGGGTCTCTGTACAGCTCCCACCAAAATGATGGCACCATGACTCTAGACCTCTCACTGGAGATCAACAAAAAACTGCAGGCCGTTCTGGAGGATACTTTACTGAAGAACATCACTCTAAAGGTAAAACCTCTTCCTTGATAGAAAACCTGTGAATTTTGGTGTGGTGTGTGTTTTAGACAGAGGTGTCTGGATACATCTAACCTTTCCTGATCAGTCTACCCCTTTCGAACAGTTAATCTTTGAGAAAAATTTTTGAACTTATGAATTTGTTGTCTTAAAGTGCATGTTGATGTTACAGGAAAGTCTTGACACACTGGGTGAAGAAATTTCCAGACTCTCCCAGGAAAACAGACAGTTGCAGCTCTCAACGCAGACAACACAGACAAGGAAGAAACCAGCCCGGTGACAGACCTACAGACAGAGTTGGTGTGAATCATTATAAATTGACCTTTGGAACAAGTTGAAGGGGTCAAGGTCACTTTTGTATGTACTTGACTGACACAAGCCTTCTGCACTGTATATGCAGTTTGTTCTATACACGTACAGAATGGGTTCGCCTATCTTCATATGTCATTGGCTGTTGTGTGGATGAAAATCACGAACAGAAAACTGATTTTAGTGTTTCACTACTTTGTACTAGACTTTGTGATGGGTCTGATCCGTATCCTCTGCCGACATGTGTGGTAGGTCATCTAACGGATATCAGATGGTAAAAGGGTATGATGACCTGTATGGAACTGATCACAAGTCAGCACTGGCCAGTGTTGGTCAAGAAAATAACACCCAGTTATGCTGGTCAGCGTGAGTAACATGCTGGTCAGTATTAGACAGGATAAACATGTCAGAGAGAAGAATAATTGACATACAAATATGCATGTCTGGGATGTGTTAAAACTGTGAAGGATTGTTGACATCAACAGTGTCTTTTTCGAGAGAAAAAACCATAAAATGTATTTAATGTGTCATTTTTGACATATTCAACGGTTGATGGTCAATATAAATATTCATTATTTCAAGACGGTCAGTACAAATTTTGTGATTGTGAGTCACAGCTTTTGTGAAAATGTCAAGTATTTGTAAGTCAATGTAATACTTCCATGCTGGATGTTCTACGTTATCAGGGTAGGGCAATCAACACGGCATACAAGTCTAGTTATAAATCAGCATTCAGTATTGGATACCAGAGTTATAGGGTAATATTTTGTTTGTTCAACCTTCAGGTACTTTATACACTTAAGTATACTTTAATTTAAGTAGAAGTAGAATTCAGTGGTACGTGTAGTGCTATATGTGCTTTAACAAAGTTGTGTTCATACAGAGTTGAGTTTATCACTATGGGCCTCTGTAATGTTCTGAAGACTGGTTTCTATGGAGACTGTTACTGTAAGAGGCCACTGTAATGGTCTGAAGACAGTTTATCACTATAGGCCTCAGTATTGGTCTGAAGACTGGTTTCTATGGAGACTGTTACTATAAGAGGCCACTGTAATGGTCTGAAGACTGGTTTCTATGGAGACTTATACTGTAGTAGGCCACTGTAATGGTCTGAAGACTGGTTTCTATGGAGACTGTTACTATAAGAGGCCACTGTAATGGTATGAAGATAGTTTATCACTATAGGCCTCTGTACTGGTCTGAAGACTGGTTTCTATGGAGACTGTTACTGTAAGAGGCCACTTTAATGGTCTGAAGACTGGTGTAGTAGGGACATTGACGTGGAGTACTCCTGAAGGTATGAAATACTGGTTGAGTTTAATTATACACAATTTATGTGGACCTGATTAACAATGTTTAGGCACAATGTATGTGAACAAAATATAGTGTGTATAGACAATAATTATAAACTGGAAACATGAAACATGGGGATTTAAGACTTTTTACTTTTCACACATAGTAAATTCTAGTCATTTATCATGTATAGGTGTGTAGTGTAGTTGACTGTGAAAGTATGGGGAGAAATCCAGGGAGGATACCTTAGAGAGTTGTGAGAATCAAGTTCAAAATCATTTGTATGTGATTCTTACATTTACTAAAGTGGAAAATATATATTTCATGCTTTAAAAATGTGTACACTAGATGCTAAAACATGTTTTGTTGTCCAAACAATATAAAAATCATATCAGTATGAAATAATTTGTCCTCCGTTAATTGATAGTTTTAGGTCCTTTGAGTTCATCCTTAGAGAAACTGATTACATGCTTTAAACAGATATCAGTGGCTGACCAATAGTGAAGCTGTTTAGATGATTCGATGAATTTGAATCATAAATTTTGAGTGTATTACTGAAATAATCTTTCATTGAAGATGAGACTCAAGGAATATGCTACACATGTGAGCAGTTGCATTTATAGCAGCATGAATCCTACAAAAACAATTGATTACATAATGATAAAGTCACTCAGTCTTATAGAGAAGTTTTGAAAATTAAAAATAAATAGATATTGTTTCATGGACTTTTCTATGGAAATTGTTATTTTTAGTTTATACATAAAATATTGAAAACAGAGTTTTCGTGACATTTGACAATCAGATGTAAACAGTTTGTTATTTTAATATTTGTAGATACTGGTAGTGTTTGACACTTTTATGTAAATTACCTCCCTTGTTTACATCCTTCTGTTAAACATTAGCCCCAACAGATATATTACTATCCTTGAAGTCTTCAGTTTGATGATTTCAAATCAGCATTAGTTAAATTTTTGCCATTCTCAATCATAGAGAGCCCTTTTTGCATTTAAATAAATCAGTCCTCTAAAAATATCAGAAAATATACTGACTGAAAAAAAAAATGTACATGCATATGTAAACGGGAAAGCAAAAATGTGATTTATTCACAAAATTATTATTAAAAGAATCTCATTTTTAAACAAACTATCATAATAAAAAAAATGTTTATGCAAATGTTAAAGTTTGAAAATAAGTATTGTTTAAAGGGACCATATGATTTGTACCTATGGTATAGTTCTTATGATTTTTCATTTGTTAATTTTTATCATCAGGGTTAAGCTGTGTTGCATATTTGCTAATATGTCAGTTTGACTTGTTTAAGTTTTTCGAACGGGATAGAACATCATTTCATATATATTTAAATACCATACCACTACATGTAGGAGTTCATGACATACAAGGATCAGCATATCTCTCTTTTTTACAATTATTTTGAACACATATTAATACCTGATTTTCTGAGCATTTAATACATTCAAAGAAGAGAAATAAATCGAATTTGAAAAACACCCCACCATTGATAAATTAACGAGCAAATATATAAAATAAATACATAGAATCATTCATTTTGAAGTAAGTGTATTACAATTTGTATGTTCACAGCTCAGAATGGCTACCAGTTTTTTATTTGTAATTCAGTATATAAGCATTTCTTGAATTTAAAGAAAATAATGCAAAAGTTCAACAATGCATAAAGCAGTCTGAAGTGTGATAATAATAATCTGGATTTTTGTTTAATATCCTAGTTTAATGTTACTTACACCTTAAATGGTGCATCCTACTTACATTGCCTGTTAACCCTGTTCGTTAGAGGAATAGTTCTGCAGAAATCGTCAAAAGATCAAATATATTACACATTCATGCACTTTTGACTGAGGGAATTATTCCCTTTACCAATAGAAGTGCATGTATGTCCGGTTGGTAGTTTGTTTCCAGTTGTTCGTTTTTTCTACTGAAGTTGTGAGCTTTGACAATGTCAGAGAAATGTACACTGTAAAATGTGATGCAGAATTTGCATTACCTTGCCAAATGGTGATAAAATAATGTGATCAGACTGTTCCACGTGTAATAGTCATTTAAGTAGGATTTTGATGTGATGGGGATGTATGCTGTTATTTTCAAAGTTTGACCATTGTACCTTTGTTTATGATTTAATTTATCAAACTGTAGGTTTTGATATTGTGATAAGTTTTGTTGATATGAAATATACAGAAATGCAATCGTGTGAGCTATATTGAAAAATGTTACATTGAAATCAAACTGGTATAAAGTTGTCGAACAAGTGGTAAATAAGTATACAATCGTTATAAAACTGGTATACAATTATTGTACAAGTGGTACATAAGTATACAATCATTATAAAACTGGTATACAATTATTGTACAAGTGGTACATAAGTATACAATCGTTATAAAACTGGTATACAATTATTGTACAAGTGGTACATAAGTATACAATCGTTATAAAACTGGTATACAATTATTGTACAAGTGGTACATAAGTATACAATCGTTATAAAACTGGTATACAATTATTGTACAAGTGGTACATAAGTATACAATCGTTATAAAACTGGTATACAATTATTGTACAAGTGGTACATAAGTATACAATCGTTATAAAACTGGTATACAATTATTGTACAGGTGGTATACAATATATAGAGGATATTTAATGGTGGCGTCAGTAATAGCAAACATATTTCACGAGTGTGGCTAAAAGCTAATATTTTGATATTTTACACTGGTGCGCAGCACGAGTGAAAAATATAAAAATGTTAGCCACACGAGTGAAATATATTTGTTATTACTGAAGACACTATTAAATTTTCTATTTATTATTTTTTTAAGCATAAAACATGAAAAAAGTCACGAATTAAAAAAGGGCGGGACTCAGGAGCGTAATAATTAGCGCCATATCCTAATGACGTCGCACTTGATAACAAGGCTGCGTGTGATTTTGAATGGGATACTCAACGCAATTCCGCTGTTTTCTGCTATTTTCTTGTATTATTGCTTATAATAATGTTATTAATTGTATATTTATCACTGAAAATATCACTTTTGATATTTTTCACAGTGATATAAGCTTTATCAAGTTGATAGAATTTGATATTTCACTGGCAAAAATGTAATAACAGGTATTAGAAACTGGTAAACAGTTGTCGTACAACTGTAATATAATTGCTTTACAACTTGAAAATATTATTCAATTGCTGTACTGGAACAAGTACTGTATTCACCTGTAATACAATTTGTATACAGTTATTGTATAACTGCTATACAATTGCTTTATTGCTGATATTATACGCCCTCACATTTTTACCAAGTTTCAGTTTATTTTTTTCTTATTTTTCCCCCAGTTAATTTTATTTATATTACATGAAACTATTTTTCCATTATTTAATTAATCTGGGTCCCGGTACATAAATTATAAAAAAAAAATGGCTCATTAATGAACAGTAATTGAATGTGTGTCATTGTCGGAGGGAGACAATTAGAGACCTTTATGATTGTAACACTAAGGCTGTGATATATAGTTCCCTGAAGTAAGTAGATTTCTCTGTTATCACACTGAAATACTACAATATATTTATGATATAGGATTTTATAGTACCATATCATACTGGTGATAAGCCCATCCTAACTAAGCAGTCCACACACTTGTTTAACAGATATCACTTATTCAGGTTGTATGAAGTAAAACGGAACGCTTCCTGTATAAAAATCTGAATTTAGAAATATTTCCTGTGTTAGCACCATTTCTAGGGTTGAGGCTCCGGGGGTTTGAGACGCTTCTTTTCATCCTTTCTCGGCTTATCACTGGTAAAACGACCAGTGTTATATACATGTATGTGTATAACATTGTAGCAAGCAATATATGTATACCATTGTAAGTATTATGTATAACATTGTAAGTATTGCGTGTAACATTGTAGTAATCATTATTATATACAGTGTAACATTGTAGTAAGCATTATTATATACAGTGTAACATTGTAGTAATCATTATTATATACAGTGTAACATTGTAGTAATCATTATTATATA